GAGGCTGAGGCAGGAGGATCACTTGAGCCCAGGAGTTCAAGGCTGCAGTGAGCTATGATCATGCCACTGCACACTAGCCTGGGTGACAGAGCAAGACCTTGTCTATAGATAGATAGATAGACAGATAGATAGATTGATAAAGAAATAAATACGGAAAATTACTTTGCTTCTGTTTATGACAGAATAGGGATGAAAAAGTTTAGGTTTCATCTACTTTAACAGCAAACAGCATAATAACAAGTTGTCAGGAAACTTTAGGGAGAACTGAAGGATTAGTTTCTCGATTGCATTTTCACTGGGAATTCTTGGACATTATGGATGGTGTGCATGACAGGTAGACACAAGTCAAACTTTCTTTGCACACCACTGTTCTGGGGAGCTACTGTGTGCTATGCCTGCATGGCTGGCTTAGCAACACAGGGTGTGTTTCATGGCTGGTCCTCAGTATCCACCTGACTGACTCAGTGTATGGTTTCGAATTCTGACCAGCTCTTACCTCTGTGACTTTCTTTCGATCAATCACAAAATGATCGCAGGAGTTGATGAGACTCAAAAGAGCAACTGCATCACATTCTTCGGGTCCTCGTTTGTCTGTCAGTCCTCGGGGCATGAAGGCCTGTAGCACAGGGAGGCATGAGAGGGACCTGAGTCTTCTCCAACTCTAGGAGCTGGAGAGGCAACAGTTACTTTCCTATTTTCCCAATGATGACTGACTGAAATTCTCTTATGCCTTGAGGTTTCAGCTTAGCGTCCAAAATGCAAGTGGGGAAACAGCGTCACAGCTAAGCCTCGGCCAAGGGCAATAACTGAAGAGCTGTACTATCCCTCTGATATTACACACACCTGACATAACTGGCTTTCTGTCCTGTCTTAATGGCACTTAAGCAGAAAGCATGGGTAGGAGGCAATTTTTTTTTCTTCCTTACTGCAATTTCAGTGGCTGATGTGCTTGCTTTGGCAGCACGTACACTGAAATTGGAACGATACAGAGAAGATTAGCATGGTCCCTGTGCAAGGATGACATGCAAATTCATGAAGCGTTCCATATTGAAAAATAATTTTCAAGTATCTGAGTTGCTGAAGATTTAAAAATAATAGTTACTCTAAAGTAGACACTTTCTAAATGACTTGAGAAAGCTCAGTACAGTAGCATTAAGAGTTTGGGCTTTGGAGTGCAACAGAATAGGGGATTCTTGGACATTACGGAAGGTGTGCATGATAGGTAGACACAAGTCAAACTTTCTTTGCACACCACTGTTCTGGGGAGCTACTGTGTGCTATGCCTGCATGGCTGGCTTAGCATCACAGGGTGTGTTTCATGGCTGGTCCTCAGTATCCACCCGACTGACTCAGTGTATGGTTTCGAATTCTGACAGCTCTTTACCTCTGTGACTTTCTTTTGATAAATCACAAAATGATCGCAGGAGTTGCCTCCAAACCAGGTATAGTTTTTCTTTTCCATTATAAGCTAGGTCCTCTCTGGCATTTTCTCACCAACATCAACCAGTCTCTTCCACGTTAAAGTTTTATTTTAGTAATTATTCCCTTTCTTCAGAACTAGAAGCCAACAGAGAGGCTCTGCTGCATCCTTGCAGGGAAAGCAGTTTCTTAAAATTACACTGCATACCACCGTGTTCCATACAGGACACGCACAGCACTGAGAAACGCACATTACTGCCTCTCTGTCCTCCACTGTCTCTTCATTGAGCAGGAGGAGATGAGGCAGCAGAAACAACAGGGGCCAGATCATGCTGAGCTTTATCAGCTCTGGCAAGGAGTGTGGACTTTATTCTAAGGCCATCAGGAAGACATCCAAGGTTTTTTTTTTTTTGAGACAGAGTCTCGCTCTGTCGCCTGGGGTTAGAGTGCCCTGGTGTCAGCCCAGCTCACAGAAACCTCAAACTCCTGGGCTCAAGCGATCCTCCTGCCTCAGCCTTGCGAGTAGCTGGGACTACAGGTGCGCACCACCACGCCTGGCTAATTTTTTCTATTTTTAGTAGAGACGGGTCTCACTGTTGCTCAGGCTGGTCTTGAACTCTTGACCTCAAGCAATCCTCCTGCCTCGGCCTCCCGGAGTGCTAGGATTACAGGCATGAGCCACTGTGCCTGGTCTCTATCCAAGGGTTTTAGGCAAGGGAATGAAATGATCTAATTCCCATTTGAAGACCACAGATCCTGCTGTGTGAAGAACCGACCAGAGGTTCCCAGAGCAGCATAGGCAGCCAGGCAGGAGAGAGTGAGAGTTGTGATGCGGAGATGGAGCGGAGGATTCCTAAAATATTTTGCAGGTACAAACAAGGTGGGTAAGTGAGAGGGAAAGAGATGACAGAAGAATGATTCTAGAAAAGTGGTGGTGGGGAATGGGTGGAGGGTGGGGGGTAGAGATAAAAAGTCCTACCTTGGAACTAAATAAAAAGTGCTCCAGAGAAGTGGAAGGGTCAAGTAAGCAGTTGGATATGCGCATCTGGAGCTCAGGAGAGAGGGCAGGGCTCGGGGCACCGATTTGGCAGCCACGAGCATAAAAGTAGTATTTAACTCCATGGGTCTGGGCAGTATCACAAGAGAAGAGGGGAAGAGAAAGACAAAAGAAGCCCAGCACTCAGTCCCAAGGAAGGTCAACTGGTATTCAGAAGGGGGCTGAGCAGAGGCCGGGGAGTTGGGAGGAAAGCCAGGAGGGTTTCGAGAAGAGTGGTCAGTAGTGCTGAATGCCTCTGAGAGGTAAAAAGGACGAGGCCAGAGAACTGAAGGTCACAGGTGCAGCGGAGTGGCAGGAGCAGAAGCCAGGGTGGAGCGGGTTGCAGAGTAAGTGGGAGCTGAGGAAAAGAGAACAGGCATCAGACTTTTTTTTGAGAAGCTCTGCTGGGGATGTGTATGGGAGGCTGATAGAAAAATGGGGAGATAGCTGGGGGGAATGGATCAAGGGAAGTTTTTCTTTCTTTTTAAATCTTATTTTCTAAGCATTTATTCAAGTGTTTTTTAAAAACAGTTTTATTGAGATATAATTCACATATCATACAATTTACTCACCTACAGTGTATAATTCAGTGATATTTAGTATATTCAGAGTTGTGCAACCATCCTCACTGTGAATTTTAGAACATTTTCATCACCCCAAAAAGAAACCCCATACCCCCATTAGCTATCATCCCTCATCCCCCAGGCCCTAGCAGCCAATAACCTACTTCTGCCTCTATAGATTTGCCTATCTTGGACATTTCATATAAACGGAATCATACAATATGTGACTGGCTTCTTTCACTTAGCATAATGATTTCAAGATTCATCCATATTGTAACATGTATCAGCACTTCATTCCTTTTTATGGCAAAATAATATTCCATTGTATGCATATACTGCACTTTTTAAAAATCCATTCACCGGGTGATGGACATTTGGGTTGTTTCTGCCTTTTGGCTATTGTGAATAGTGTTGCTATGAACATTTGTGTACACGTTTTTGAATGGATGTATGTTTTCATTTCTCTTGGGTATATACCTAAGAGTGGAATTTCTGGGTCATATGGTAATTCTGTTTAATCCTTTCTGTCTTTTTAAAAAACTTAAATAAATCAAGGCACTATTTACATTAAAGCTTTTTATATGGTGATGGGAATAAGCAGGGAGGGAGGAAGAGTGGACAGTTCCTTGGGCAAGTGGAAAGGGATAAGATCCAACACACAAGTGGAGGTATAGGGCAATAAGAGAGAGACATCCTTCCTCCCCTGTAGCAGAAGGAAAAAGATGGTACACATGAAGATAGGTTGGTAGGTTTGGCAAAACATGAGGAAGTACAGTCGGCCCTCCATATCCATGGGTTCCGCATCCATGGATTCAACTAACCAGGGATGAAAAATATTTAAAAAAAAAAATAACAGTACAGCAATAAAAATATAGATTTTTTAAAAAATACAATATAGCAACGGTTTATATAGCATTTACATTGTATTATAAGTAATCCAGAGATGATTTAAAGTATATGGGAGAATGTGTGTAGGTTATACGCAAATACCATGCCATTTTATATCAGGGACTTAAGCATCTGCCGATTTTGCTATTTATTGGAGGGGGCCTCCTGGAACCAATCCCCCTCAGATACAGAGGGACTGGGCTGGGGGCATCCATCAACTCCATGAAGTGTGATCAAGGTTAGCAGCTGCGAGTGAGGGCGGAGGAATGGGAATGGGAGCTTGGCAAGGAAAGGCAGAAACTGTCATCTCCAGGAACAAGAGCCTAGAAAGAGATGTGGCCGGACCACTGGGGCTCGTGATCAAGAGTGAAATTGAAACCAGTCAGTTCCCTTGTGAGATTCTTCCTTCCTGAGCAGAAGCAGATGATGGTGTCATCAGGGCTGGGGCTGGGCCAGGCAAGTTCAGAGAAAGGAGAAAAAAGGCTGAGATAACTGCAAGGCACTGACTCTAATGATGGACCACAGAATCTGAGCTGGCTGAAAAGAAAGGCAGGAGGACTGAAGCTGCTGGGTATTGGGGAAGCAGGGGAAGCAGTGGAAGCCTCAAAGAGGTGGAAGTAGTACAGGGACAAGGAGTGGGGGCAGGGGTGTTTGAGTAAATGTGCCAAAGGCGAGCCGGATGTTAGATGCTGAGACTTCCTGTGCTGACAGGGGCCAGGATGTGAGCATGCAAATGGGAGGCTGAGGTGGTTGGAGCAGAGGATGCTAGAGTATGGAGCCCAGGAACCTAGAGGATGGGGTTGGACTAGAAAGTCTGCCGGTAACAGCAACCAAGAGGAGGAAAGAGTGGCATAAGCAGGTGGCAAGGGCTTCAAGAGTATTCCCAGGGGGACAGCAAATCCTCTGCAAACAGGTGAGGGATAGTCATAGTAAAGGGTAGAGTTTTGTTTCTTTAAGTCATTTCTCTTTTCTAGGTAAAAGTACAAGTTGGCAACTCTATGGTGGCAATGCAAAAAAAAAAATGGGGAAGAGGGTGTAGGTGAGGTGGGCATACTGGTCCATGATAGCCAAAAAATCTGGGGACCACTGATACCAATTACCTCATTTTTGAGGTTAGGGAACAGAGGCTGGCCCAATGCCACACCACAGCAGGTGAGCCAGACTCAGATGACCTGCTTGCCAGGCACTGCTCCTTCCCAGGTGCCCACCTGTGCCTGCTGCTAACTAGCATGGAGACCGACGCCAAATGTCAATTTGTGTTAGGAAGACACTTCTGACTGCCCCTCCCCACTCCCTACTGGGCTTCTGACAAACATCAAAAAGTCAAAAACGTTTCCCAATGGGCCCAGCTAATAAGTCCCATTGCTAAGATCTGAAGACAGATCTGGCTGCCTATCCCATCCCTACCTCCCCCAAGTTTTATTCCTTAGCTGAGCACTTAAGGTCCTTTCTATTTAAGTCCTCACTTCCCCTGGCTTACTCTACCATCCTCATGGCACCCTGTTGTCAAAATGAGCTGTTCAGTGAGCCTAACCTCAAACACACGTTACAAGATTTTCCCTCTATGCCTGCATTCATGATACTCGCTCTGTATCTTGCCCCAGCATCTCTTGCAGAAATCTTTCCCATAACTTTGCAAGCAGGGGTAGCAAACTGGAATGCCTTCAGGAAGCAGACAGGTAGAGGAAAGCTTCTACTTCACTGAGCTGGGTCCATTATAACAGTCCGGAACTGCCTAGATACTAGACTCTTGATCAACCAACCAATCTCTCTCTCTGCATCTGTTTATGAGGTCCCGGCTTCCACAAGACCGGATCTCCCAGCACCAGGTGACCAGCCCCTTCCTCCTTCCCTCCCAGCCGCAGGTGCTTACCTTGGCCACCTCCCAGGCGTCGACGGGCCAGCGGCCTGGCCGGCAGTTTCCCCAGTACACATCTCCATTTCTGTTGATGTGATGTCTCAAAATCTCCCGTTTCCACTCTGCGCACACCTGACACTGAGGCTGAAACTACAGGGCAGGCTGTGAGGAGGGGCCCGGGAGGGAGGGGCATCGCGGTCGGCCCGGCCCCGCCCCGCGGAGGGAACGGGACAGGGATGGGGTTGGGTGGGGGCGATGGTCAAGGCCCCGACCCAGGTGCTCACCTGGCGGGCGCGCGGACTACATCGTGAGCCGCCGCTGCAGGCGGCTCGGGGGCCCAGGCCGGGGGCTGCAGCGAGCAGGCCGCGGTGGAAGGAGTGCACCTCGCGGCCGACGAAGCCCTGCAGGCAGCTGCGCAGCAGCAGCAGGCAGTGGCCTGCCTTCACCCAGTTCTTGTACTCCGCGCAGTTGAGGCGCACGGCCAGCTCGGACAGCCCCATGTCCGGCTCGCGCCTGGGAGGCCGCGAGGCGAGGGGCGTGGCCGACAGCAGTACGCAGGCGCGGGAGCCTGGGCAGTGCCTGAGGCAGCTGCGCGGGCGCCGTTGCCCCGGCGCGGCCCCGCCTAAAGGCGGGGATGGGAGAGAGCGCCGCTTGCGCGACTGACCCAGGGGCGGGGCGTCTAGGCTTCCGGAGCATGTCGGCCCCACCCCACTTAGGTGAGGGCAAGTAAGTTTTAAATACTTTGGTGCTTGCCGAGGCAGCCTGTACCTGGAACCCTTTGGCTCTGTTCTCTGTCCTCCAAACTGAGGCCCTGTGAGACTCCGATTTCGACTTCCTCTCCTGATGTACGGGCACCTGTTTTAACTTCTTTAGTGTAGAGATGCTAGAGTGCAGTGGCGTCATCATAGCTCACTGCAACCTCAAACTCCTGGGCTCAAGTGATCCTCCTGCCTCAGCCTCCCAGGGTAGCTGGACTACAGGCACACGCTACCAAGCTGGGCTACATTTCTTGAATTACATATGTTCTTTCCATTATACAACACTAGAAAGTTAGCTAGTTCCTACGTCCGCAGATTAACTAGCTACAGCAAATCGGGGTATTAGCGAAACTAGCCAGGATATTAATATCCTGACTGCCTGTGTACTGCCCACCTGTGATGTGCCTGCAGCGTGCCAAGCTGACATAAAGCTCAAAAACCTCCGCCACTGGGCCACCTAGCAGAGGCAAACAGGGAAACGCATCACTTGGATTCTGGAGGGCTGCACAGCTCCAAACCAGGTAAGAGCGTCCTGAAGCGTGGACTAAAGGTTAGATGATGATTATCTAGTACTCTTGGTTATATGATAATTAGTGTTCCTTGAACAGGGCAGTCTCATTTAAGTTCCAAATAAGTGCCACAGAGGTCAGAAGGCAGTGGATTGTCAACTCCAAGTGACAAGAGGTCAGGTCAGTTTTAGTTGCTTTTAGTGAACTTTTTGAGCTTCGCAAACAAGTCAAAATTGTGTCCAGTCAAAAGGCTCCGAGGGTAGAGTTTAAACGTTGAAGCCTTCCCCTGACTGTATGGTTTACAGCAGAAAGGCAGTGTTCAGGGAGCACTGGCTCTGGACTCAAACTGCCCCTTCTTAGCAGTTTGATCTTAAGCAATCAATTTGACTTCAAGAAAATTACTTCATTTCTCTGTGCCTCCATTTTATCATTTGTAAAAGGAGGATATTAATATTTACTTGATAGGATTGTTAGGATTAAACACACATTGGAATAATTAGAACAGTGCCTGGCACATAGTAAGCTTTTAGTTATTAGCTATTATTTTATATTGACTTAAATATGCCCTTTCATCATATTCTTGCACAAAGTATTTTAACAAATCACTGGCCACTTGGAAGTGGAGGCAATTTATAGAAAATTGTGAGCATATCATGGCGTTCCTGGAGTTGTGCAGCACAGTGCTAGCTGGCCTTTGCTAACCTTGTCTTAATAACCTCAATACTAAATCTATCTTAAGTAAATTCAAACCATACTCCTTAGACGCACTGTCCATTCCCATCAAACCAAATGAAAAAAAAAATTCCACAAAAAACAATGAAATATACATTAACATTTCTCCTTTCTGTCCCTTGAATGTAAGTTCTCTTAAAATTTTCTGTATATTGATTTTGTATCAAGAACACCTGGATGATAAACCAGAGTATTATCCAAAATATCCTCACGAAAATTGACTAGAGAGAGTTGGTAGTTCTCTGAAACTTGTATAGATTTTATTTATTACTGTAAAAACTAAAATCACATTGAAAACACCTTAAAGTCCCAAATCATCTATTAGGGAAAAATCACTATGGGCATCCAGTTCCTTGATTGAACCTGGGTAACAAAAGAGGCAAAAGACATGGTTTGTGATGAAACTTACGATTCAAATGCTAAATGTTTTCAAGCTTTAATAAGGTATATACCAATTCCAAGTACCAAGCATAATATCAAAGTTCAAATTAATGGGTTTACTCTTAATAAGCATCAAAAGCAAATTCTGTTAGCTGATTCCTATCTTTTGATTTGCACAATGCATTCAGAGATGAGTTATAATTAGGAAAAAAGAGTGTCCACTGAATGCACTATGTGTAAAAGTGCAATAAACATTTCAAAACCACACATAAAAGAGAAAATACCCGAAAAGTTAACTCTATTAATAAATTTGAAACAATATTATCCTGCAGATAAAAATACATTTCTTATATATACATGTAGATTACTACATGAAAGAAAAGGATTCAGCTCCAAATAGAAAAGGGCTGACACTTGATAAAGACATTTTAGATTGCCAAAATGATGTGATTACCGTTGTAAGGAGAACTGAAAACAGAAGAATAAAAAAGTAAGTTAAAGAAAGGATAAAAGTTTAGTTACCTGCTTCTGAACATTGGCAGAGTTGGGTGAGAAGCAGGAGATGAAGGCAGAAATAAGACAAAGAAGAAAGGCAAAGAAGGCCTCAGCTCTGATTGGAAATGGAATCAAGCAAAGTTGATATGATACAGTTGCAGTGAGATGCTTGAAACTAGAATTTGGTAGTTGACAGTTATAGAAGCTCAATTAAATCATCTTAAAGTGGATTTAGATAAAGCATCTACAATTTAATGGAGAACCAGTAAGTATTACAATGACCAGGTAACTCAGCATGGTATTATAATTTTAAAAATGTTTCCAAATAACATCAAGTCTAGAAGACCTTTGCATCAGATCGTGCTCTTTGAAGCTTAAAAACTCCCTAACTGGGAGAGACAGCATGGTGCTCCAAAAAGAAACCCTGGTGAGATGTGTCAGTACCCAAAACTCCATTTGACCCTGGACAGGCCCTGGATCTTGGATTCTTCAAAATGAGGGGATTGGGCCAGGTTTCTTCCAAGCAAAATATCCTATGATTTTGTTGACAATGAATTAAATTGAGATTGTTTAGAACAACCCCAATTGTGGTGGGGAAGGCAAGGAGGAGAAGTTAAGCAAGATAAAGAAATGTCACAGAAACTTCATATGAGGGTAGAACATTAAAGTTCTTTGTTTCCTAATTAATGTTGTATGCGGAAGTATCCTGTAAACTAAATTTGCCTAAGAGAAAAGTTCCCACATCCCTAACAGATGAGAATAATTTCATTATTTGGGGTCTTTGATCGACACGAACCACTTACTGTCTCTTCTCAAAGACTAGGTTCTTTCTTTTTTACCCAAATCCTACACTGAAAGACAACCGAAGCACTAAATGTTAACCACTAGTCACGTTAGGAATGTTCGAAGAAAATATATTAACCTTAAAACAAAGAAGCAGATGTTTTTGGCCAAATTTCAGACATGTATTATTAGGAATTAATTACTGGCCCCCACCAGGTTAAAGATGAAGGGAGGCCATAAGAAGTCTGTAGAGCTTATACACACACAATTGAGTGTCACTGTTTGTTTGGGTTTTTTTTGTTTTTTTTTTTAACCTAATTTTATTAAATATTGCTTCCTTGGGATGTGTTTACAACAACTCCCAGAACATTTCATGTAAGATTCAAAGTGGTCATATTAAAATACAGCTTCAATATAAAGTTGATCACAGTTTAACAGTATTCAAAAATGACAGACCTGCCTTAAAAAAACAAAACAAAAACCAAAAAAGGACTATTACACCCAAAACATAAGAAAACAATTAAATAAACAAGATTGGCATTCCATAACTTTATAGTATAAAACAGAATATTAAATCTATTACTGGCAAGCGGACAGTGATGTATTACCTAGCTTGAAATGTGTCCCATTTAAACACACAAGTTCACTATACAAAAGATTGATGGTCTTTTTGATGAAAGAAGTGCACCCTGAAAATTTCTGCCAGTTTAGAATATTTAGCTCTTAAAGTCAAAAAAAAAAAAAAAGTCCTTTTTCTTTTTTAAACTGAAGGCTGAATTCAGATTTTTTTTTGTTGTTTTGTCTCATTTGTCAGCCTTCCTGGTTTAAAAACAATAGTGTCTATGGACGCCCACCAGGGGGCAGTGTAAGATTAGCCATTAAATCACGAACAGCTGCAAATATTGTGCATTCACCTGCAACAGAGAAAAATGGTCATTAGCTATTCGCAATACAGGAAAGATGATGTTAACACACCGGTGGGGGAAGGGATAATTAAATCTAAAATTAGTAAGAACTTTAAAGATCAAAATAAAACAATTTTTAACTGCCCAGATTATAGGGAATTAAGCTATGGTGTTAAATATCAGATTATATTTGGTTTGGGTTTTGTTTTTCTCTCAGGGGTAAATTTTGGGCAAGTCCCAGTTAGGTTTGAATTTAAGAAGATATGCCTAGAGTTTCTGTCCAGAAACACTGTAGCATTGGATAAGCCTTTGAAGTTGGGCTTTATGGCTTCTGACTCCTTATGCATTTTGGATCTAATGAAGAGATCTAGTTTATATTTATGCATTAGTTACAACTTCAGTGGTGTCCTTCTAATGTTATATTAAAGGCTAGATAAAAATGTCTATGACAGCGCTGTCCAATAGAACTTTCTGTGATGATAGAAATGTTGCATATGTGTGCCATGGCTATCGAGTACTTGTAATGCAGCTCGTGTGACTGAGGAACTGAATTTTAAATCTAATTTAAATTAATTTAGATTTAAATAGCCACGTGTGGCTGGTAGCAGTTATATTGGACAGTGCAGGTCTATGACATCTATTGGAATTTTCTCCCAAATTTCGAGGAAATGGTCAATTTCTGGAGTTCAACATTAAAATCAATTAAATATAAAAATAAAGTGATTTTTTTTTTTTAAAGATAGAAAGTCTCACTCTGTCACCCAGGCTGAAGTGCAGTGGCATGGTCAGAGCTCACTGCAGCCTCAAACTCCTGGGCTCAAGCAATCCTCCTGCCTCAGCCGCCCAATAGCTGGTGGGACTACAGGTGTGTGCCACCTCACCCAGGCAAAAATAATTTTTCTTAAAAGCACTTCACCAGGGGGGAAGTGATGGGTGTGGGGAGAGGGGAGGGAAGCTGAAGTATGGCGAAACAACAATTCCAAACAGGATTTGTTGGTGGGGAGGGTGCTGATGATTCATCCTCTCAATTTCCCCTTTGCTCAGAAACCAAATACTCTGTGTCTCTTGCTTCTTGTAAATATTACAAATATTTAAATATTATAAACCAAAAGCTGGATCCCTTCCATTAGAGCATGGTCTAACACTACAGTGGCTGAAAGTGGGAGAACTGAAGACCGCATGTGAATCATGGCCTTCTGGCAAAGGGCAGGATGTGCAGTGATCCTGTGCAAGTTACTGCCACCCTTCTCTCCAACTACTGGAAAATTAAGGTGCAGGAAAAAAGGAAATCCAAAGGTTTGCTCAGCCCAAGGGAAGAAAAAAAAAATATAAAATAAAAAAGGAAAAAACACTTCCAAAATATCTCAACAATTTCTTAAATAAAAAGAGAAATGATGTTTCTTTTTTAAAAAACACATTTTCATTATTGATAGAAAAACTTGCTTGATCCCAATAGGATCAAAACATTTTCTTTTGGATTTTAAATTCCACAAGACATAATACATAAAAACACATAATAAGATAATGATAGTAATCTGCTTGTGAAGGAATGTTGTTTATTATCAAAGTTCTACTGGACTGCTACTTTGAGAATTCTGAAAGCTTTAAACTTTGTTTCTTGAGTACTAGTTTTAGCTGAAAGAAGAGAGAAGTCAAAAGATGAAAGCAGAAAATTTTACGTAGAAGAAGTTTACAACAAAAGAAGCATACCCTTCTCTACTGCCCAGTGTATTTCTTATAAAGTGAGAACTTGCTTATGTATAGAATATGGGGAAACAAACAGCTAAAAATATCATTTCTCTCATGATTCCTATTTCTAGTAAAATTTTGACACTGTAGTACCTAAAAATGTTTCAGAGAACAACTTTCCCTCATTTAAAGACATAATTCTGTAATCAAACTATTCTAGACAGAGAACTTCCTTAATATTAGAAATAAGAAAAATTTAAATTTAATTTAAATTTCCTTAATATTAGAAATGAGCAAAATGGAAGAAAAGTTCTCTTTGCTGAGCTTTATCTTTTGTAACCCTAAATTTAGCACTGCCAGGAGTTACGTGTTAAGTGTAGGCTACTCCAGTATTGAAGGGACCTTGTTTATCTTTCTAGAAACATTCTGGTTTCCTTGGAAATGTTCAGTTTGAGAGCTTCATTGTGCACTTGGTGAAAAGGTTCACTTGCACCCACCTGACACTTATATAAGAAGCCCAAAAAAAGCAGTGATGCCATTTGTATCAGCGTTTATTCTTCACAAAACATTTAGAAGATACAGAACTTTTAATGGTATTATTCTATTCATGATTGAACCATGAAATATGAGAAACCAACATGCATTTCAACTTTGTGATGTACAGAGTGGCAGGTATTGATGGTAGGGCAGGAATTCACAGCCATGGAAAATTCTATCATCCTAACCTAGGGCTTTGTGGCAATGTGTGCTATAAATACAAGCTTCTGGCATTAGCAACTGGGTCAGTCCCAATAGTAAATCACTAACCAAAATAGAGTCCAGGCAGCAGAGAAATGGACAAAAATGAAGAACCAGTGAGAAAGGAAGAAAGCGACAGGCAGACATTAAGAGGGCCACAGCAACCAGAGCTCTATTACTAGGACTGGGGCGTGAAGTGGGTAAGGAGGGAGAAGAGGAAAGGGGAAGAGAGTCTCTCTCAAAAGAACTTTGATAACATATATGCAATAAAATATTATCTACTGGTCATGTACCTTGTCGTGGTGGATTCATCTCTGCAAACCTCTTCAGAATGTTGCTGACCATCATGGGAGCAGCAACAGAAGAGTTCTGCTGTCTGGGAATGTCTGCCTGCTGGGTTGTACCTGAAGCCATGTCATAAATGATTGGAACTATAATACTAACAGGTTCTTGGGGAGGGACCGATGTTTTCTGAGTTAGCTGAAGCTAGAGACACACAACACACACAAAGAGAATAAAAACATAAGAGCATAAGAAAATAAAGCATCTGTCTAAACTTATCAAAGGTACTATCATTTACTGTACTTTAAGATACAGTAAGCAAAAGAAAATTAAACATGACAAGAAATGTGACAAACAATTGAATATTATGGTTAAGATGCAACTGTGTCACACAATTACCTAGTTCAATAAAGTTCTGTTCTTACTAAAGGAACCAGGATCCCAAGAAGTCTAAACTAAACAATTAAGGAATCCTGGCCCATATTTGGCAGCAATAGATAATTTATGCAGTTATTCAAAAGTTGCTCTATTATCCTCACATGACTTTTTCCTCAGAAGCTCTGTACATACACAGATGCCGGGTGGTACTTACAAAAAATAGCATTTTGGATTTCAGCACCACAGCAGGCGTCCCAGGGGGTGCAATCGGTGGTGCGCTGGGAGGGATCGTCAGGCAAAACTGAACGTTCCATTTTAGCTGTGTTGCCTGGTCAGGGAACTGTTTTTGGGGGAAAAAATCATGATAAAGCCATATGAACATTTAAAATCATATTCTAATAAGGTGAGTCTAAAAGGTTAGAATTTTATTTTATAGCCTATTATTAAAAGAACATAAAGTTGATAACCTATTTTTTCAAAAGAAATATATACATGAAGTTGCTAACTCAAAAGCCAACTCTGGATTTATGTAATATGTTCCCCTTCCTTCCCTCCCACTTCATTAATTCCCAAGGCCTATGGATTCAGCTTCTGCAGTGTCTCTGACATCTATTCCCTCCTCTCTATTTTCATTGAGGCCACCAAGCTCAGGGTTTCATAACTTTGCCTGTGGCCCCCCAACGGTCCCTTTGACTAGTGGCTGCCTCTCCCAGTTCATCCTTATACCACTATCAGACACAAGTCCTAGAGCATGGTTCTAACCAAGCTCACAAATGTTCAGTGACACTTAGTGACACATGTTGTCCCCCACTACCCCCCAACTAAGGACCAACACCTGGCATTCACGGCCCTTCTTAACTGGTTCCAATCTAGACTTTTCCAGTCCTGTTTCCAACTCCTTCCCTAAACAAACTAGTCAAACTGTGTTAATGACTTTAAATTATATCCACTGGTGCTATTTTAGCCACATAAATATTTACTCCTTTAAAAATTCAAATGGATTTCTTTTTGATGTAAATAATGTTTCCTATAGCTTATCAGATCTGAAGGCAAATGTTGAGACTATTAGCAAAGAACATTGCTGCCCCGACATTAACAGTAAAACATCAACTTAAAAAAGGAGTGAGGTATTTGAAGTTACTCAAATCAACACTAGAAACATTAAAATAAAAGGACTACTGTAAGACTGAAAAAATCAGCTGCCACCTGGATTCCATCTATATAACTGTATACTTTCAGGAGAAAGAAGAAGAATTCAAAATCTCTCCAAACAGAAAAGAGATTCTGATAAATGGGCATCTGAAAAAGCTGGATCCATACCTCACATTTGACACCAAGATAAAGTTAATATGGATCAAAAACTTAAATAATTAAAAAAAAATGAATCCTTAACAATATTAGAAGCAACTATGGGAGGATTATTTCAAAATCTGGGAGTGAAAAGAGTCTCTTTAACAATGATACAAAACCAGGAAGGATGGTCACATTGTTACAATGATATAAAATCAGTATTGATACATTCTACTGTTAAAAAGTAACTATTAACTTCCTAATACACACAGAGCTCCTATAAATCAGTAAGAGAAAGACCCAAATCTAAAGATTGAGAAAACTGTTGACAAGGATGTGGGAAAGCAGGAACTCTCATAAATTTCTGGTGGGAACATAAACTGGCACAACCCCCATGGAGAACAATTTGGCAGTATCTAACAAAATTAAAAGTATCCTTTGACCCAGAAATTCTACAGATATACTCTGGCACATCCGTAAAAAGGCTCTTTATTGTGGCACTGTTTCTCCCATCCAAGTACTAACCAGGCCCGACCCTGCTTAGCTTCCGAGATCAGGTGAGATCAGGCGCGTTCAGGGTGGTATGGCCATTTGCGGCACTGTTTCTAACAGCAAAGTATTAGAAACAACCAAAATGACCATCAAGAGGGGGACTACTGAGACATTTTAATACATTCATATAATGAAATACTAAGCTTTGTTAAAACAAAGACACCCTTTACCCTATGTATATTGATATGGAAAGATCTCCAAGATTTGTTCAGTGAACAAAGCAAGATGCTCCTCTGTTTCAAGCAATATGTCAAGCTAGATATTCTGGAAATCACTTCTACCACAAACACTAACAAATACTGGGGGTGGGAAGGCATCTTTTCTTTTCAAATACTATTATGGGTTGAATTGTGTGCCTGAAAAAGATACGAAGTCCTAACCCCCAGCATCCGTGAATACGACTTTATTTGAAAATAGGGTCTTTATAGATGTAATCAAGTTAAAATGAGGTCATTAGGGTGGGCCTTGATCTAATATGGCCTTTGTCCTTTATAAGAGGACAAGAAATACAGGCAGAGACACACGGGAAGAACACTACATGATGACAGAGGCAGAGATTGTGGTGATGAGTCTACAAGCCAAGGAACAACAAGGACTGCTGGCACCACTAGAAGCTAAGAGAAAGGCATGGAATAGATTCTCCCCTATACCCTTCAGAGAGGTCATGGCCCTGCTTCCATCTTGATTTAGGATTTCTAGCCTCCAGAACTGTGAGAGAATAAATTCCTGTTGTTTTAAGCCACCCAACAGTTTGTGGTAATTTATTATAGCAGCCCTAGAAAACTAATACAAATGTAGACTGAGCTATGCAGAAACTAAGTGAAGTCCCCAAAGGGCCAAAAACAAACCAAGAGTGGATATCCAGTGCTCCGAAGGCAGCCTCTGCCCATGGAGCATCCTGCTTGACTTAGTACTTCAGTTTTAACAGCTATTCAGGGGGCACAAAGTCTAGGACCAACAAAGGTGGGGAGTCAGATTTTTAAAAATTTGTATTATAAATTGCAGGCACCGTGGATTTAGTTCATTTTGACATTATTTAAGCACTTGTTTTTATACTTACCTAGAATATAGTTATACTTATTGTGACACCTACCTAAGGTTGCTCTTACACTTTTTCGGATATTTCCCTGAGGTTGTAGTAATTTTACCAGACAAAAACGATAAGTAATACCATTTCAGACCAGACAAGGTTACAGGATCTGGATTATAGATTCATGGATTCTTGGTCAGAGTACAACATGTGGTTGCTTTTTCCAAATATGACTCAACGTTGCTCCACAGACCATCTGATTGACCATCATTTTCATGTCTTAAGCTCACTAGTTGTATCAATAATGTCTCTGGGATCCACGTCCTTCATTTTAACTTTAAGTATTTCATGACTTGGGACCTTTTTCCAAAATAATATTCTCTTGGGGTCTTATTTACCTGGCATTGTCTGCCTGTCCTGCCACCATATTTACCTGCCGTTGTTCTGCTATCATAATATATTTATTCATTTCATTACCATTATTAAAAACAAATGTCTGTCTTACTGGCATCTTATTCTAATTAGAAGTGCCAGTTAGAGGTTGCATATCATGGGAGATGTGGAATCTATTGCACATTTAGACTTCTTTCAGGGGCATAGGGTATTTGACTATGTTCTCTTGAAACAAACTAAAATTTAATAATAAGTGATAATTTATGCTGATTAACCAACAGACCCTTTTCCAACTTTACCAAGATATGTATGACAAATTTTACAGATTAGCTGTTAATGAGTTCTTGGCACAATTTCCAATTTGTTTAGGACTTCTGACTTACTCCAAGTTTCCTGTGTTTACAAAATTCTACTTACACAGATAAAAGCAAGCACATATCTATGATTTGCAATTATATACTTAAAAGAATAAATAAAATACTCCAATATGATAACATTTGTCTACTAATTAAACAAGTAAAATTAAACTTTTTTTATTTTATCCTTCTTTTGTATGACAACACTGTGGCCTTTCAAAACTTTTGTAATTAACCATACTGTTATCCCCTTTAATATTCAAATTATTATAGCTTTCCCAGAAGACGTCCTTTAAGCCAACTTCTTTGCCTTTTATCATTGCCCTTGACTTTCTTAAAAATGTCCCTGCTTTCTATCAATAATAATTTTTTCCAAAGCTATATTGATTTGTTATTGCCTCAAACTATTTTTCTAAAAGTCCTGGTTATTTTTTAGTGGGGAACATGAGAGACCAAAATCTGGATGCTAGGAGTAAACATCCATGTTGGTGGCAGGCAAAAGCACTATGGTTACTGTTGGCCCATTTTAGAGTCAGAGCTGAAAAGATAATTCCTTTCAGGGTCATTCATTTACTTTTTTTTTTTTTTTTCCAATTTTCATGGTATTCTGATGTTCTCCATTTTGGTGAGAGCTATGATTTTCATTACCACTAAGTCTATTACACAGACATATACTTTAAATTAATTTACTTTTAAAAAGAAACTTTATGTTGATACTATAAATCACTACCAGTATCATTTATCATATGTAAAACGAAACTAAAAAATTAAATACAGTAATGGAATCCAACTGTGGCGCGCACGTGCACACACACACACACACACACACACACACACACTCAACTGAAGATACAATGTCCCGAATAGTGATTTGAGGAGCTTTGAGGGGCTAATCCCCAGGGAAACAAACATAACTGCTAACTGCTAGAAATTATTTTATAAACAACTGCTTGAAGCCTCTGGAAATTGTCATAAGGTCATGCAGCAAATGAAGAAACATTTATTCAGTAAAATCTACTCAATCTTGGTAAGAACAGTGAGGGTTGTGGCACTTGAGCAATGATGTGCTTGTTCTGCTCCTGACCCAGACCAACATGATGGAAGCCCCACTCTACGTGGATGTGGGTGGCCAAGAAGACAGAGCATACTCTCTTGCAACTCCCAGTCAAGAGCCACAGTGCCTCTGGGAGGAACAGGCAACAGGCATTCCTCATTATCCATAGCTTCCCACTGCAGAGCTAAATTCCAGGGAAGTGTGGCCAAGAGGTCAGTAACTCCCTTTCTTCTCCCAGCCTCTACTCATAGAGCGGAACCTATCTACCCAAACATGCCGGCTGAGAACACTGGGGCCGGATCCTCCTTGCCCCAGCTTGCTTATAAGGAAGAGATTCCATGATGGGAGAGAAAAGCTAAGAAGAGCAGAGGCTACTGCCTGCACCCAGTACCCTTACTGGAAAACAAGGTATTGCTCTGAGACAAGCAGGCCACAGTGCCTGCCCCCAGCTCCAGATCAGTGGCTTAAAGATTTTGCCCAGGGGGAGAGACAGGCCATAAATCCAGATAACTCTGAAACTCTTCACAAAGGAACATTTTTTTTAAAAAACAGAGTGTAGGGAATTTCAAATGGAGATTTTCGTGGTAAGCAATTAACAGGATGTTGGTAACTCCATGAAAGCAATAAGGCAAACAGTCCAGCTATTTTAACAGAGAGAACCATA